TTTTTTCTACCCCTCTCCTCTCTTCATAGATCCATCCTGATCGTGCCCCTCTTGGTCAGGCCTGGGGAAAGGGCTGTTCCTGGCTCATTCTGGCAGGGTAAGGGTCGATCCACTTGGTTGGTCACTCCTCACAGTTATAATTCAACCCTTCCAAATACCCCCCCAACACACACACACACACACACACACACACACACACACACACACACACAAATTATCTATTCTTCAAAGTGCAGTATTAAGGAGACAAAATCAAACCAAAGCAAAACAAACTGTTGTTAACATTGAACACCTTCTCAATGTGTTAAGAGCTCCCCACTCAAGATGCGGGTGGGAATGATTGAAGTGAGGAGAAACAAGAACCACATGCTACTTCACTGAGGTAGCATGAATCTATACAAACCTACTAGTATGATTCTTCTCAAGTGGTATTTGGTGGTTCTACTGAAGGAGTGGGGTTGTCAGAGAGCTGAATTGATGGCAGAGCTGGGATTGTCAGAGAGCTGAACTGATGGCAGAGCTGGGATTTTCTGGAGCTGAGTGAGGTGGAAGGATAATGGGGGCCCAGGATTTGAGGACACTGACAAAGAGGAAATGATGACCTTAGAGGGCCAGTCTGGGTATGGAAGGAAATAAAGACTGGGGGGGGGGGGGGGTGTGTACATAAGGAGAGGGTATAAATAAGGGAAAATGAGAGGGATCTAAGGCATTGTGGTCTTAATGAGGATAGAGAACAGGAAGATATTTTTTCCTACCCTCTTTAACAAAAAGAAAATATAACTGTAGAGTAGTGGTTCTCAACTTGGGATGGAGAAGGGATTTTGTACTCCTCCCTCAGAGGACATTTGCAATGTCAGACACATTTTTGGTTGACAATGGGGGTTGCTAGTGCCAGCTCGTGGATATAGGCCAGAGATGCTGCTAATTCTACTGTGTGCACAGGGTAGCCTCCCACAATACAGAACTATCTGGTCCTAAACATCAACAGCGACGAAGTAGAAAAACCATGCTCTAGTGTCATTGCAATCTGAAAGTTAAGTGTCCCCCCCCAGTGGAAACATAACCCAGGATTTAAAAAAAAAAAAATGCCTGGCTAGGGAACCCAGTTTTCAGCACACTTCACACTGCCATGAAGGTGAGTGTGAAGGTCTATAAGCAAGTGGGTAGATTTCAAGAATTCCTTGGAAGGTGGTATTTGTGACTAGAACCTTTAAGCCACCCACCATGGCCCAGTACCAGCCACCTCTACATACACACAGCCACCTACAGAGGCTGCCTCCGCCTGTATCTGCCTCATGGTGTGGGATGTCTCTTCCCTCCCTAGAGCAAAGATGGCCTCTTGTTTGGCTTTGAGGCAGCCTCTGTTCCTTTAAAATGCCTTCTATTTATGTACGCTTGGATTGTTTTCATAGCTAGGGAATGTCTATATTATCTTCTCCTTAAACGGCCACAAATATTAGTCAACTTCCTAGCTAGCTAAACGCTTATCCTGTTATTTTTTTGCCTTTTATTGGTTATTTATAGACCAATTATGTAAAGCTAGTGACAAGAGACTGGACCTTTTTTAGTTGTTTTGTTTTCCTGAAAATGCTAGCAAATTTTCTTTTTGTTCTAAAAAGACTGAGACCACTTCTGCAGTCTCTCTTGCTAGAGAGGGCAGGTTATTTATGATTGCCCCTTAGATGTTACATTTAGAAAACAAGTCTGTATTCCTCCCAAACATGCGGAAGTCCCATTGTTACCAAGATGACACAGAATGAGAAGACTCACCATGTTTGGGTGAGAGGCCAAATTAACAGCAGACGAAAACCAGAACAATAGTCTCCCACCTTAGCGTGTATCAGAATCACCTGGGGGACTTGGTAAACTTCAGACTGCTGGGCCCACCCCAGTGTCTCTAAATCAGTAGACCCTGGGTGAGGCCCAAGGATTAGCATTTCTGACAAGCTCCTGTAAGTGATGTTATGTTTCCTGGGATCACATATGGAGAACCACTGTGCACTTGAACATTTATTTTTTTTATTGTTTAAAGTATTACACATAGTAGTACATATATCTCCTTTTTTTTCCCCATTGACCTTCCCCCAGCCTTCCCTACCCCCTGTCGCATGCCCTCATCCCACTCCCCAGTGTCTTGTGTCCATTGGTTGTGCTTATATGCATGCATACAAGTCCTTCGGTTGATCTCTTTCCCCCCTTCCCCAACACTCCCCAGCCTTCCCACCGTAATTTGACAGTCTTGTACATTTATTTTGACGAGTTCTGTTTCCAGGTTAGGTTATATTTAAGAAATTGGCTCTGTATGTTTCCACACTATATAGTATGTTACTCTGTTAGAGAAAAGCTGGATTTAGTTCTTCTAACAGGTATTCCTGTGAACACACATCTTAGAAGGAAAAACATCAAGCCAGACGCTGTTTTGCAACCTTGCATGTTCCCAGCAACTGCTGCTTTGATTTTTAATGACTTGATTTATTACCTATGATCTGCTGAAAAGGACCCACTTAATAAATGCTCACCAAAACTGTATCTACATAAACACATTAAAATCTAGAGTTAAAATAACAGTCAAGCTCTATGTGGTGAGCCTGAGTGGCCATGTTCCCCATTTGTATAAGGTACTATTAGATATCCTTTAACAATGGCATCATCCTTTTTGTTTACTCATTCATTCATTTTTAATCATTTTGGTTTACCATAATCACAGAAAATAGGACAGTGTTGTAGAATTTCCTTTCTCCTCACACTCTTGAAATTTTCACTCCTAGTTTGAAGCTGTGGTAATAATAGTCTTAAAACATTCTTGTTTTCTAACTATTAAAATGTAAACAATTCATGGAGACCAAATTCCAAAATAAAGTAACATTTTTCAGAGACCTATAAATCAAATGCCAGAAACACATAGCTAGACAGGATTTAAGACAACTTTTTACTGACTCTCTCTACGCATACTTACCTCAAGCAATGGAGAGTCCTTCAAGGTGACTACTGACTAGTCAGCCATGGACAAAATACGGCCCGCGGGCCGGATCCGGCCCGTTTGAAATGAATAAAACTATTGAAAAAAAAGACCGTACCCTTTTATGTAATGATGTTTACTTTGAATTTATATTAGTTCACACAAACGCTCCATCCATGCTTTTGTTCCGGCCCTCCGGTCCAGTTTAAGAACCCATTGTGGCCCTCGAGTCAAAAAGTTTGCCCACCCCTGGACTAGATATTACACAGAAAAGGTGCCCACAGTTAAAAACGTGTGATATAACTTGCTACTCCTCTCCACCTCCACATGAAACAATCAAAAACAAAAAGACTAGAGACTCACATACCTAAGCCCACAACCTTAGGAAATCATCAACTATGATGCACTGCAAGTTTCCATCACCATGCCTTCCTCTGGCTCTAGGCTGTCAGGGAGTTGGCTATTTTTCACATGATTTCCCTTTCGAGGATGCCTTTAAATCCAGGTGTGGGCATGTGACCAAAGCCTGGCCAATCTGTACTTTCTAGCCTGCTGACCACAAGACGGTCCACGTGACCCAAGTTAACCCAGAGGCCCAATCAGTGCACATCTTTGTGAATTACTAGGAAACAAAAAAGCTCTTTGCACTGAGACTGCCAGGTATAAGAGCAATTATGTGCTGGGAGCTTCTGAATGTCATTATGGGGAAGAAGGTCCACCAAAGGATAAAACCAGTTTAAGGGAAAGCAAAGCTGAGATGGAAAGAGGAAGAGGCAGGGAGGGAGAAGGAGATAGAGAGACAGCACTGGTTACACTGGACTGAGATGTGAGCAGAAAGGAAGTTGACTGGGGAAGCCACTGATATTTTAGAGTTGTTTAGCAGTTAGCATAGCCTGATGAACACACCCACAATTGTATATATAGTGTACCTCTCTGCCCAGTGGTTTGAGAACAATGGAGTCTGTTTCCACTGTATAAAGGCAGTTAAGAAACTTGAATATATCAAATAAAAAACTCCAAACTAGTAATTATTATAAAATATAGTTTAATGTCACTCTTTTCATTATTGACTACAAAATTTTAAAAATACCAATATACAGAGAAGCACGAGTGAACTGGAAAAAAGCTAAAAACGGTATAAAAGACAAACGTAAGCTCAAGAATGTATGAGCAGTAACACACATACCATACACTCTCACATGAGTTCAGAAAGCATATTCTAGGTTGGATGCGTTTTCTTTCTAAGGCCAGCGTTTTACCAGGGCCACATCTGGAAAGCTCCCTGAACCAGAGTCCTTATATTATGTGGGAAGAATCTTCTCTAAACAAGCATTTCTCATGAAATAACTCATACCAGAGAGGCAGACGTATTCTAGACACAAAAGACATAAATGCCTCTCCTAAGCCCCTTGGTACTTGGAAAAATTAACCTAATGAAAACAAAGCACTCTAGAAATGGAAAAGTGACACCTAGTGGCCGCTTAGCAGTTTTTCTTTATGGCTTCTGATTTTCCTAGCTGTCAGCCTTGCTCGGCCCATGAGACAGACCCTGCTTGGCATATCTGAATCTCCAGTTCTAGAGCCCAACAATGACCTGCTTGAGTGGCTCAGACCTCTTTAGAGCGGGATCTGACATGGCACCACCAAAGATGGTCCAGCAACTAGATAGTGGCTCTTTCATTTCCCTGTGCCCCTGACTCTACAGAGATTCCTCAGAGAACACGACTCATAAATACAGCCTTTCCCCAAGGTAACGCTGTAATTAAATACTTTAATCCCATTTACTCACCAAAAGTCTGGTCTGTACTGTTCTGTTTGCCTTCTGATTTCTCAATGGATTTCCAAATTTAGTTACTACCATACAGTGTCAACATATATCTCAAGTTTTTATTTGATTTGATTTCAGGCTATCATCCTGTAATGAAATATCTGATCAAATTTTCAAGTTTACCAGTTTTTAAAAAGTTTTAAATTTGATACATGGATAGAGATTCAGTTATTTATACTAAATCAAGGATATATACGCAATTGTTTTTTTTTAAAACCACAGCATTTAGAGGTAAATAATCATATTCATGGTATAACCTTTGGTCTATTTCAATAATATTCACTTAATAAAATGTTATAGAGCAGAGCCATCCAATAGAAATATAATGTGTGGCACATGTGAAATTTAAAATTTTCTAATAGCCACATTAGAAAAGTCAAAAGTAAAAATTTAATGTTTTATTAAATTCAGTATATCCAAAATATGATTTGAACATGGAATCCATATAAAATTGTTAATATATTTTATATTTCTTTTTATGCTGTTTGAAGTATGCTATGAAATTTACATTTACAGCCCATCTCAATTGAAATCTACATTTAAAGTGCTCAGGAGCCACATGTAGCTGGTGCCTATCACACGGGACCACACAGTTCTAAGTCTGACCCTAATGCTCAAGTCCTAAGGATCAGAATCTCAGAATCAGAACTGGAAGTAAACTCGGAGATCAAATCTCTTGTCACAAACGAGGAAACTGAGGTACAGAGGGTTTAAATGGCTTACTTGCAGTCACATAGCTAAATTTAGGCTGAGTGGGCTCTTCTGACTCTAGGCACTCCCCCCCTCACTACTTCACTGTAGGTAATTCTTAGGAGGGGGACACACACACACACACACACACACACAATACATTGCTTTCATCCAATGTATAGAGATTTTCAACCAAGATTCAAGAAATTGGTAGGAGACAAAGAAATATTGAGTAAGACATATAAACATCTGCCACTCGTAATAGCAATCAAATGCAAACAGAATGGGTTTTGAAAAAAAACCCACTAAACTTGAGAGAGCTATATAGTATCATACATGTGGGTTGGATTCTGGGTCCAGGGCAAGAAGATCTACAGGAAAACATCAGAGTGGGTTATTAAAGGATCAAAGCATCCAACTGGCTATCTGCCAACTGGTCTATGGAATAAGTCCTCTAGAAACTCTGCCTCTCAGATCCTTGCATCATGGTTTGTCCCATCTGCTTTTGAGGCCATCCAGCCACAATGACCTATCCTGCAACCTCTGGCTTAGGCCAACTCTGCAGGCCAAGGCTAACCTGCCTGAGTTCAGATGGCTAAAGTGTTAAGTTTGTAAGGCAAGTCCATCTGCACAACTTAAGAGAACAGATGTAATCGTTCATGCTTCCTCAGACTTAACAAATCGTGCTTGGGCTGCTTCAAACCAATCTCCCCCCATCTCATAGGGTTTCTTGGGCTTATTCTAAACCTGGCTGTCTCAAGTCCAGGAGTGGTGCCAACCCTTTGACACGTCTGGAGCATTGGGTCAGGTCAAGAGGATAACGTACCAATACGCCCTTGTCCACAGAGCCACTGCAGTCATCGCGCTTGAAGGGAACATCTGCTTTTGGTTAATGCCTGTCGGTATGTTTGCCATTGGCACACCTGACAAAAGTTCAATCTAGTACTCACAGCGAAAGAAATGGGCCAGATCAAAATGATGCTTTGTTATGGTGAGAGGCGCAGAGCAGCCAGCTGGAAAGGGTTAGAACCATCTAGAGAAAGAAAACTGGACTTGAACCCCACACCTGAGCCTCAGGGTTTCCCCACCAGGTTCCCAGCCTATCTTACTTTCATGTGTGGGGCACAAGGGACAATATATGGGAACTTACTTGGTAAACTAGAAAGAGCTCTTAAAATGTAAGGTGATAGAGAAATGTGATCTTCAAAATGGTAGATGTACCTATAGTGCTTTAAATATTCTTAATTCTTGCACTCGATTTGAGCCACCTCTGGATTAATGCTCTCCAAATTTTTAATTATAGCTAGAAAATTGGTTTTTAAATTCTTTCTCATTGCCTCATAGTTTTCAGGTAATTACCATGTATATAACTGCCTTCGGTTACATGCAATAGTAACTCTAACTGCTTAATAATCTTTAAGGCCACGACTAGTTCTTGGGATCAGTTAATTAATCATTTAACCAGTGAGCCCACTGCTTTCCCAAGTATGTAAAAAGAAACTGGTTTATACACAGCACACATTAAAAAATACATAAATTTAATTGTGTTTACACAAAACATTTAATCTGCCTGGGCCTGTTCCTTCCTCTAAGATAATCAGTTACTACATACCATTTCAACATAGAAAACCTGTTCTATCTGTATATCTTGAGTGGTTACATTAAGATTAAATATGCAAAAATTAATCACCAACATCTGGGGCCCAGAATCTTTCCTGTTCTGTAAGCAAAGTTGAAAGTGTCTCAACTTTTCTTTTTCTGAGTTTTAAATAAAAATCATCTCATTTAACATCCACCTCAAAGTGCTCAACTGGGCATTAATATCCTGGCTCTGTGCTTGTCCAAGTCTACAAACACTAAACATAGTAGTCACTGTGATCATGACTATCAATTGCATTGTCCCTTTAAATGTTCAAGTACTCAGTTTTCTTAAAAAATACATAAGCCCTGTCCTCAATTAAGGAAATATACAAGAAATGGAAATGTTCCAAATTATACAAATCTACTATTATAAGTCAATTAAATGAATCTAAGACACCCCCCCCATGCCAACATATTAAATTCTCAAACTCAAAAAAACTGCATCAAAAAAATAAAAACAAAACCAAAGCAAGATGTATGTGATACTCTTAGTCAGAAATATTTTAGCAAAAAATAGCAGCTAGTGGGTTTAAAACCAGTTGGCTGAGTAAAGGCGTCTGTAGGAAATTCCGAGCAGTTCTATTTGAAGAAAAACATCACATTTCCCCAGACACCTGTGAAATAGGTGCAAATATATAAAAATTGGTAGAACCTTCATAAGAATAAAGAATAAAAAGAGTATCGATACAGTACAGAAGAACATACAGTTTTTTCGTAAAGGAAATGCTGTAGAACATTTCCCATTTTTGGAGTTAAAAGTCAAATGCTAAAGGGTCCAGGGGATGTCGCTGAAGTCATCGGGTTCTCCCAGGCCCCCCTGTACTTCTAAGTAATTCATAAAGGCAGCTATGGCTGTGTCGTCATTGTCCCACAGGGTATCAAAATCCAGCTGGGCACCACCGCCTATAGAATAAAAATACAGGCCCGTGTAAGTACATTTGAAGGTTAAAAATGATTAGTATCAAAAAGGCAAAGCACAGGTAGAATGCCATACACTGCATTTTTTGAGGGCAGACTATAGGTCTTAAATTGCAGAAGCCAGATAAATTCGTTAATGGGTCACCTATTTTTATAACAATTAGCTGTCAGATAAATTGGACTTAATTCACTTGATACATGTAAGTGAGCTAGTGCATGAGTTTTTTAATAGAAAATAAGAGCCTGAATAGGTACAGACTCCCAGACAACTGGAAGCTAGAGGCTGAGGTTTTCTTGCACAGCGGTGTATGTGTACGTGCTTGTGTGCAAAGAAGAAATTTAATTTTAACCTGCTTTGTGGGGGAAAAAAACTTTACTCGTTTAATCCAAAAAATGAGAAGGCTATAGCAAAGGGGAATATAAAGCCTTAATCCTATATAATAAAAGGGTAATATGCAAACTGACCCTAAAGGCAGAACGACTGGGAACGACCAGCCACTATGACGTGCACTGACCACCAGGGGGCAGATGGTCAACACAGGAGCTGCCCCCTGGTGGTCAGTGTGCTCCCACAGGGGGAACTCTGCTTAGCCACAAGCTGGGCAGTGCTAAGGATGTCCGACTGCCGAGAGTGGGCCTAAACTGTTAGTCGGACATCCCCCAAGGGCACCCGAGCTGCCAGAGGGATGTATGACTGCCAGCCTAGGCCTGATCCCCCCGGGGACAACCCCCCCCCCCCCCAGTACATGGATTTTTGTGCACCAGGCCTCTAGTATTCTTATAAAAGGGGAGTAACCAGATTTTTTATTGAAAAAAAGGACCTAAGGAGTTACCATGGAAATGAGCTTTAAGTTAGACAGAAGGACAAGGTTCTAGAAATTAAGGGTTAAAACACAGCTGCAGGTTAACCAAAGTTTTCTAGATGTCTTTCGAAGTACAACAGAACTTGAGGTGATTAATAAGTGGTTCTGTGCACAGTTGATACCCAGATTCTTTAAGTTCTTTGATTTTCATTAACATAAAATTTCAGTAGATTAATGTCAGTTATGGGGAGTATGAAACAGTGTCACTTGAATTTACTTGATGTGAACTTTGTATAAACATAGAATGAATAATTGCATCTTAAACTTTTTACCACTGGTACCCTTTAAAAATTCTTGAATTCCTGAGAGTGGACACTTTTTCCTGGATAGAAATACCTTAGTTTTATTTACATTGTATGTAGGAACAATACCTTGGATTTTGTTGATAACTAAATATTCAATGACAGGTGCATTAAGTAACATACATTTTAACATCAAGAGTATGGTTACTGCGTTTAGGATTTTGAATGGAAAAATCTTGGTTTTGACCTTGTTTGCTTCTCTAGAAATCTCCTATGCCTGAAAATATAGTGATTAAGGAGGAGTTTTTGGAAAAACAAAATGGTGGGCAGATGTCAAAGAAAACTTACCTAGGAGTGGTTCATGACTGTGGGGAGCAACAGTGCTGTGGTTTTGCCTTGTGGCTTCTAGCTCCCCTATTTCAGACAGATTTAGTGGAATCAACTCTTCATTTGACATCTGGAAAGACAGAGTAGTAAGTAGTAAGGTTCCTACTTGACTGAAGTACTTCTTTGCAGTTATCGGACAGGGGCCTCTAGCAGCGTGGCCCCCGGTGGGCTGCACTGACTGAGTACTCTGTGCCTAAGCACCCCACGTGCATCATCCCATTTCACTTAAAAAATGTTGTGAGGGAACTGTTTTATGGATCAGGAATCTGAGGCCTAAAGAGGCTAATATTCGTGCCCTAGTGTTAGAGGCATAATTCTACCCCGTTTTCCTGACTCCAAAGCCCACATTCTTCATAACCACAACTGAATGAATGTCTGTACTATAAGCTCCAAAGCCCACATTCTTCATAACCACAACTGAATGAATGTCTGTACTATAAGCTCCAAAGCCCACATTCTTCATAACCACAACTGAATGAATGTCTGTACTATAAGCTCCAAAGCCCACATTCTTCATAACCACAACTGAATGAATGTCTGTACTATAAGCTCCAAAGCCCACATTCTTCATAACCACAACTGAATGAATGTCTGTACTATAAGCTCCAAAGCCCACATTCTTCATAACCACAACTGAATGAATGTCTGTACTATAAGCTCCAAAGCCCACATTCTTCATAACCACAACTGAATGAATGTCTGTACTATAAGCTCCAAAGCCCACATTCTTCATAACCACAACTGAATGAATGTCTGTACTATAAGAAAAGCGTGAGATGGGAAAGTTCTTGACCACAGTGCTCCGAGTCAGTTATTTTTTTTAAAAAATGGTGACAAAACCATATCCCATTAGATACCACAAAGGGAAATAGTGCTTTGGAGTGGAGAATGGATTAAGCTAGAGGTTTTGACCAGAAGGTTATCATCCTGTTACAGAGTTACAGGTCAAACAATCTAATGTACAATGTAGTGTATCAAAAAGAAAGTCATCTATAATAATAAAAGGGTAATATGCTAATTAGACCGGACGTCTTCTGGACGTCATTCCGGATGTCCTTCCTGACCAAGCCAGGGCTGGAGGGAAGCCAGCCCAGGTCCCGGTGCCTGTGGGCAGCCTGAGGGAAGCCATCCAGGGTCCCGGGTGCCGGAGGGGAGCTGGTGCAGCAGCAGGGGGAAGGAAGGCCTAATCTTGCATGAATTTTCACGCATTGAGCCTCTAGTTTACCTATACTGTCTTAAGTTGAGGTACTTTATCTATATCTACAGAATGCCTATATAATGTACACTACTTGGCGATTTTTGTTACAATGACTTAACCTGTTTCTAACATATAGCTTGGCACAAAATGGGTACCCAATAAACATTTGCTAAATGTATGAGTAAAATTAAAAAACACTAGCCCAAAAGACTTATAATATTTTATGTTAAAATACATTTGCAAGTTCCCTTTTGCCCTTGGTCAGATTTAATTTTTCTATATATTCGTATACCACTTCATTTATAGACCTCATTTGGGGCCTTTTGTTGTCGGAGCTACATTAGAATTATGCTCTATGTGAGTTTTCCAGATATTAGCACTACGTTTAGTCACTTTTGTATATGCCGCAATGCACTTCAAATAGCTAGTATTTATTGAATTGAATTAATGTTATTCTTATCTTGTAGCTTATATTAAACTTTGTTACAGACCAAAAGGTGTCCACTTAATCCGCTGAATTGGAATAACAGCAGTAATAACAGCTACCCTTTACTGAGCACATGCTGTGTATCAGACACTGTTAAGCTTTTGCTTGTTTTCATACTTAATCACTTAATTCATACACCATCCCAAGAAATTGGTGCCATTATTATTCCAGTTTTACAAAAGAGGAAATCAAGGCACAGAGTTTAAAAAACCGACCTGGGGTTAAGCAGCAGTAAGTGTCTGAGTCACAACTTTGGACCCAGATCATATGGTTCCAGTAACTTCACTCTGAACCACTATTCTACGTGGCCTATTAAACCACGGACTAGCTAGAAAAGGGTTCATTTATTTTTTAAGATGGCTTCCTTTCTCAGGAGAAATCATCCACAAGGAGCAAATTTTATTGTTCATTTATTTCATGAATATTGTCACTTATGTTTGTACTTACATTCCTGCAGTTTATAGTGTGAGTATCTTTCATTAAATCTGTTGGACTTGAATCACCCAAGGATGAAGAAGACTGTAACCTTTAAAAAGTGATACATAAAACATTTTCTGTACTTATATATTTTTAGAAGGAAATTTTCTCCTCTGAATATATCACAATCTGATAAAAAAAAATACAGTGAAGGAACATGAGACTGAGTATCATGACAGTTTTCACAATAGACCAACTTGCTGGGTGCCAGATTGTTTTTGACTATGGAGAGCTGAAAACACTCCATAGTAAACAGAAACATAAAACGCTGAGGTAAAAGCCCATAAGTAAATCATGTTACTTATCTTAATATAGCACGTCACAAAATAATAGAATACTATAACACACTTAGTTTAAAACAGGCATTCACATCAAAACTCAGTTCCTTATCAAGATAACCAAGCAGCAGAATTGAAAGTAAAGAAAGACTTCCTAACATTTTGCAACCTTTAAGTAGAAAATGTGTGATATTTTTACTGTAATAGGTCATCCTCAGCAAACTGTCAGCAAACAACATAGAGAAGAGGCTTCATGACATTGGACTTGGCAGAGATTTCTTGGATATAACAAAAGCACACGAAATAAAAGAAGAGATATAGTCAAAATATACATGACAAAAATATAATCATACATGTTGATAATTAATCCCTTCAGTGAGACTTAAATGTGTAAAACTGACAGTAACATATACTATTAAATGCTCAATTATGTGACACACATAATGGCATAAACATAACTTCATGTGTTTATGTATTCCCAAGATGGCAGTTGACAAGAAATTACATAGGGAGAAATTAATACAGAAATGGAATGAATTTGGTCTAAAATCAGAAGAATAGGCCAGTGGCCTGTCTTGGGGATTTTTCACAGGACAGCCAATGTAAAGAGCGTGGCTGGCTTCTCATTCTGTGGTTCATGGCTTTCAATCACCACCTGCTCACTTGGCTTTGGCGACCCCTCCCCCATACCAGATTAATCTTTTGAAGCATGGCTTCCTTCACATTCGTCCACTGGGTAGAAATCTGCTACTTAAGTCCCTCCCTGCTTGACTTCACCTTAAACGCCCCATTGATCTCAGCAACCCAATTCCTCTCTCAGTGAAGTCTCCTTATTGTTCCCTGAAACCACCACGCTTTCTCCCACCCAACTCTACACAATGGCTGAAGTGCCTCCATACATAAATGCCTTCCCCACTGCATCCTGGCCATTCTAATAGTACCCAACTGTCAATGTTTGGCTTAATTTCCACTCCTCTTAAAATGGCCTTCCAGCCCTAGCTGCTTTGGCTTAGTGGATAGAGCATCAGCCTGCAGAATGAAGGGTCCCGGGTTCGATTCTGGTCAAGGGCACATGCCCGGGTTGCAGGCTCAATCCCCAGTAGGGGGTGTGCAGGAGGCAGCCAATCAATGATTCTCTCTCATCACTGATGTTTCTCTTTCTTTCTCTTTCTCTCTCTCTCTCTCTCTCTCTCTCTCTCTCTCTCTCTCTCTCTCTCTCTCTCCCTCTCTCTCTCCCTCCCTCCCTCCCTCCCTTCCTCCCTCCCTTCTTCTTTCCCTCCCTCCCTCCCTCTCCCTCTCCCTTCCTCTCTGAAAATAAATTTTTTTTAAAAGCCCTTCTAGCATATATGGTCAAATGATTTTCAACAAGGGTTCTAAGACCATTCAATGGGGGAAAGGACAGTCTTTTCAACAAATGGTGCTGGGAAAACTGGGATATCCACATGCTGAAGAAGGAAGTTGGGCTATTACCTTACCCCATATACCAAAATTAACTCCAAATGGATCAAAGACCCAAATATAAGACCTAGAACTATAAAAATGTCAGCAAACAACATAGAGAAGAGGCTTCATGACATTGGATTTGGCAGAGACTTCTTGGATATACCAAAAGCACACGTAATAAAAGAAGAGATTTAGTCAAAATTTACCAAAGTTGAAAACTTCTATGCATCAAAGGACACTATAAACAGAGTGAAAAGGCACCCCAGAGATTTGGGGGAAATATTTACAAATCACTCCTACAACTCAATAATAACAAAAAAATAAATAACACAATTGAAAAATGGGCAAAGGACCTAAATTGACATTTCTCCAAAAAAGATATACAAATGGCAGATAAGCACATGAAAAGATTCTCATCACTAATTATAGGGATGCTGGTAGTATCAGAATAGATATCACAAATGAAGCTCTGGACTAACAAAACCACAATGAGATACCACTTCACACCCGTTTGGATGACTATTATAAAAAAAAAACAAAACAGAAAATAACAAGCATTGGTGAGAAATTTGAACCCTTGTGCAGTTGGTGGAGAATGTAAAATGGTGAAACTGCTATGGAAAACATAATAGCAGTTCCTCAGAAAGCTAAATAGAATTACCAAATGATCTAGCAATTCTGCTTCTAGGTCTATACCCCAAAGAACTGAGAACAAGGACTAGAACTTAATTTGTACACCCACATTCACAGCATCATTACTTACAGTAGCCACAAGGTAGAAGCAACCAAGGGATCCATCAAGACATGGCAAATGTCTTACTAGTAATTTTTTTTTCAATTTAAACTACTTTTAATTTAAAAAAATTAAAACTATAAACTGTACAAAAAGAAAATAAAAAGCAAAAATTACTCTCTTCTACATTTCCCATCCCACAAAACCTAGTCCCATTATGGGAGGTAAGAAATTCTGAATTGTCTGAACAAATTACTTGTATTGTTGTTATACATCATCCAGTTATGAGTTCCTTTTCTATAATTTCAAAATCTAAAACACAGGGAAACCAGACAGATTTTCCATAATTCATTTAGCAGCAAAATCTGAATTGATCTGAACTCAGCAAAACCTGACCTGACTGGTATGAAGCTATTTTCTTTTTTTATCCCACTCTATCTTACTACATGTATTTACAAAACCTCACTCCAAAAATATATTTTTAAGCTTTATTATGGAAAACTTGAAACAGATATAAAAGTAGATAATATAATGAAATCTCATATACCCACCAAACAGCTTCAATCATGATTCTTCCCCAAACTTGTTTAATGTATATACCCCAATCTCTAATCTCCCCTGTCCTCCCTGACCATTTAATTTATAAATACTTCATTGCAGAAATAATAATTTAATTGATTATGGGGTGCTGCCCATGATATTCTCTGGAGGTATTACACATAACTCTTTAAAAACTTAATTCCAAAACACAATCTTTATAAAATCTAAAGAAATTCTGAGTTCAAAACTTATATTGCCTCCAGAGTTTTAGATGGGCAATTATGGGCCTATATACATACCTTTCTTTTGCCTTATATATGTGGGTTATTATACACACTACCCTTTTGTTCTGATCTTGTTCTTTTTTTCTATTAACTATGTACTTTAAACAACTTTCCATATTAGCGTATATACAGCTACCTAATTTTCAACAGTTGTGGAGTACTCCGTTGTATGAATATGCCATAACAAGTTAGCCTATCTAATAATAGACAAACAGGGTAATTAACCGTACCTTCGCTACACCTCCCATTGGCTAATCAGCACGATATGCAAATTAACCACCAACAAAGATGGCAGTTAATTTGCATATGGCACGAAGCGGCGGAGCAAAGACTGAAGGTGGCTGTGGCCAGAGCAGCAAGGGCTTCGAAGGCGGCTCCGGCCGGAGCAGCCAGGGCTTGAAGGTGGCTCCGGCTGGAGCGAAGGCCTGGGTCCTGGGTGCTGGAGGAAAGCCGGTGCTGGCAGCCAGGGGAAGGGAAGGCCTATTGCACGAATCTTTTCATGCAACAGGCCTCTAGTATTTAAATATTTAAAGCACTACTGTGAAAAAACACATCAATGAATAGTCTTGTTCATAGATCTTTGCAAGGCTGTATAAGGCCATTTGCTCCTGGGGCAGAACTGCTGAGTCTAGGGTTACGTACACTTACATTTCGGACAGGTGTAGTCAAGTTGCCTTCCATAGCAGCTGGACTAATATATCCCCACAAACAGTTTACGAGTGACTGTTTTCTCACACTCTCACCAATATCATCAAACATTCAAATCTTTGACAGCCTTCTAAATGAAAATAGGCATTGCTTTTAGTTTGTACATATATGTTTTTAACTGTGAGTGGGGTTGAGCAATTTTTAGTTTCTTAGCCATTTGTATTTGTTTCTACTCACGTCCACTGTCCAACATTTTTTATTATTGACTATTTTTAAAAATTGGCTTATAACTTTATTCTTTATACTATATATAAAGTTTAGTACAGATTAAGGTTAGTATATAGTTATATAAAATATACAGAGAGTTTAATAACTTCATACTATAAACTCTTCATATATTAAAATGATTAGTCCGTTTTGTCATATGAAATACACAATTATGTGCAGTTTATAATTTCTTTTAACTTTGTTAAAATAGTTATAGTTATGCCTAAGTTTTGAGTTTTTATATAATTTATCATATTTTTTCTTCATGAATTCTGGATGTACGATGATCCAAACTAACATTACAAAATTTATACCTCTGTTTAAAATACTTTTATTGGTTTACTTTAAACTCTTTGATTTATTTGGAATTCCTATTAGTATAAAGAATAAAAATGGGGGGAGATCGAAGATGGCGGCATAGGGAGTAGACCTGTGAGGGCTGCCTCCCACAACATCATTGAAACTACCAACTATAAGACAAACAACCACCATTCAGAACCATGGGGAAGTCGGCCCAGTGGAAGTTCTACAACTGGAAGGAGAAAAGGAAGCACAGTGAGACTGAGTAGGAGCTATAGACGCGCCCAAAACAGAGGTACACAGTCGCATGCCAGGCGGGCCGCAACTGGATGCTCGGTTTTTTTTCAATCGGATTGCTCGGGGCGGGTCTCTCAGGCCCGAGACCCCACGGGGAGAGGCGGCACAGCCTTGCATTGGTCGGAAAGCAAGGGAAGCTCTGGCGCGCAGCTGCTCGCTGGCACTGGGGGACATGAAGTCCCAGTGTCCCGGAGAGGCAAGGGGCCGCGGAGACGCTGCCATTGCTATCTGCTCCGCCATGGCAACTCCCTGAGACACCGCCCTACTCAATTTACATCCCCATCCAAGCTGTGCCAGAGGCACAAGAGGAAATGCCTGTGCTTTTATGAACTGTCTAATCCTCTGGGCTTGCTCGGGGCGGGTCTCTGAGGCCCCAGGCCCCACGGGGAGAGGCGGCATGGCCTAGCAGCGGTCGGAAAGCGAGGGAGGCTCTGGCGCACATGCGAAGTCCCAATGTCCCGGAGAGGAGAGGAGCCACGGAGACTCCGCCATTGCTATTTGCCCCGCCCCTGCGACTCCCTGAGACCCCGCCCTACTCAATTTATATTCCCATCCAAGCTGTGCCAGGGGCACACAAAGACCCACCTGTGCTTTTGCAGCCTAACCCAACAAATTTCAGACTTCAACTCCTCGCACCCATGGGAGACACACTCAAGAAGCAGACCCAGGAGAACCAAGATGGCACCGTAAGGTACAGACCTGTGCATGCTGCCTCCCACAACAACATCGAAACTACCAACTATAGGACAAACAGCTATCATACGGAACCATGGGAAAGCTGGCCCAGTGGAAGCTCTACAACTGGAAGGAAAGAAAGAAGAGCATTGAGACTGAGTAGGATGTGCAGAGGCGCCAAGTACAGAGCCCAACCCAGCAGGCTGCAGATTTCGGTTCCTTGCATCCAGGAGGGACGCACTCGGGGGGCAGAGTCGGGTTTGGGGCAGGCCGGGGCCGGGCCCTGCTGGGCCGGCGATGTGGAACCGCTGTACCAGCAGACACACAAGCATGCCCACAGGTTCCAGTCTCGCGTGGGACACTGGGGGACAGCAGACGGGCAGTCTGTGCACTTGGTGGAGGGCGAAGTCCGAGCAGGCGTGCTGGATGTTCAGCCACCAGGGACGCCTGGAGTTTTTGTCTGGTGGGGAGCTGCCCGGCAGGGGACAGAGTGCCAAACTTTGTGTTTCCCCAGTGAGGCTGGGACGGCCCGGTGAGGTCGGGACAGCCCCGGTGAGGTCGGGATGGCCCCGGTGAGGCCGAAACGGCCCCAGTGAGGCCGGGATGGCCCCGGTGAGGTCGAGACTGCCCTGGTGAGGTCGGGACGGCACCAGTGAGGTCAAGACGGCCCCGGTGAGGTCGGGATGGCCCCGGTGAGGTTGGGACGGCTCCAGTAAGGTTGGGACAGATAATGGGGACCAGTATAGACTGATTAACAGGGGTAGATGCAGAGGCAGAGCAGCATTGAACAGACTGTCAAACTACAGTGGGAAGCCTGGGGAGGGCTTGGGGGGCGGGGTTAAGAGATCAACCGAAGGACTTATATGCATGCATATAGGAATAACCGGTGGACACAAGACACTGGGGGGTGGAGGCCGGGGGAGTATCAAGGGGGGGAAAAAAGGAGACATCTGTAATACTCTTTGTAATACTTCAAGAAATAAAAATTATTTTTTTTAAAAAAAGAAAGAATAAAAATGGATCTAGCTTTGTTTTCCCAAATGGTTTCAGAGTTATTATAATGCCCTTAACAGTTTAATCTATTTCCTCTTACTGGAGGAAATGCCACTTTTACCATATAATAAATTTCCATATGTGTTTGAATCTTTTCTGAAATCTATTATTTCATTAATCTATTTTCTGAAATCTATTTTTTTATTAATCAAAATGTTTTCGTGAGTATAGCTTTATAATATAATATCTGATCGTTTTAGTCTCAATTTTTTTTTTTTTTAGAATTTTGCTGGATATTCTAATGTAGTTACTACCATTTGTTGGATTCTAAAAAAAACCATTTTGACTGGATTCACATTGAATTCATAGGTTAGTTCAGGGAACACTGACATCCTTACAATACTGAGTCTTCCTATTAAAAAACAACTTGTATCTGGAAAGTTATTCAAGTCATCTGCATTTTAATTTTTTTCCCCATGAAGTTCTAGATACTTCTTGTAAAATTTATATCTAAATACTTTTTTATCTGTTTTGTTGCTACCGTAAAGGTGATCTTCTCTTCCATTATATTGTTGAACTGGTTACTGTTTGCATAGAGGAAACATTGATTTCGGAATATTGGTGTTATAAGCATAATCACTTTTCTTGTAATATTTGCAAAAGATGAAACATTACCTTTGTAAATCCAGAGCTTCATTTGCAATATCTGTGCCGATACTGCCAGCACCAAGCACTGTGCCGGTGCACAATCCAGGCACACTGACACAGGACTCTAAACAACAAAAGGAAAATTCAATTGAGGACTTTAAAAAAGTATATATCTTTGATTGATATATTTCTTTCAAATATTTCTATCTTTAAAAGGAACAGACTAGCCACATCTTAAATTGTTAGAAACATTCATGCTTGCATTACCAACATAATGCATGATGGTTTAAGATGTTTATTCAGAAGTGTGTATCAATCAAATGTGCAGAGAGTCACTGAACTGTAGCCTTTGAGTACAGACAGTTCCTGCCCACTTCAATACTGATACTAAAGGCAGAGCTAGTTTATTTTTAATATTTCCTAATATTTTTACTTATGCAAGGGCTATATTATGTAATTCCTGTGGTAAAAAAATGGATATAAGCAAAAACTTCCCCTTAATGCTTTTTATTAATGTGCCCAACTGATACTTTGAGTCCCACGAAGTACAAGGAACTGTGCTAGCTGCCAGGGAGAGAGGATGGATAAAACACCATTCCTACTCTCAGAGAACTCGGCCTGTGATCAGCCCGCTGAGTGAACAATGAACTGCAATACAACCGAAGATTGTAACGGAGGTGTGACCAAAGTACTGTGCGAATTCTGCGGAGGACAACTGAACCCATAGAAGTCTTTTCAACTTCACCTTGAGACTTTTACCTCTCCAGGACAGAAAAAGATATAACAATAATAACAGTCTTGGTAATAAGTTTCCATCATCTAAACCTAAGCTTACCTTCCAATGATTGAGAGCTGTAAGGAAGTGACGATGCTCCTCCAGTCTCGCTGTGTCCCCTAGAATTTAGAAACACCAGCAGTGACATCTTTTTTAGGTTGGGACACCCACCCAATTCATTGCCAGTAAAATGGTGCTTTTTCTACCATTTTTAAGGAAAGTGTTAGAGTAACTGTATTTAATTTTTTTATATATGCATTTGTTAATATTACCACCAGAGATCAAGGTACTAATGTGCTAAGTACCAAATGCCCTATTACCCTATAAAGTACATGTTGTCATAGTTACAAACTGTCAGATCATAATAAGAAGGCAAGGGTTATTGGAACAGGTAGCCGGATACTGCTGGAAGAGCTTCCGCAGCTTTTAGATAAAGCTAAATATTATAAATAAGAAAATAGGTTTGATGAAACATTGTAGCAATTTAAAAAAAGTATAGAAAAAGAATAAACTTAGAACAGGGCCATGCTAGCATATTGCGCAAATGAGGAAAAGCTGGCCCTTCCTTCAGGTTGATGGCATAGACCAGGACTTGGCAAGCAGTGCTTTGGGCTGGATTGCTGCTCATCCCTCCACCAAGGGCTCTGCACAGCCACCTGTGGTACCCCAGGCTTAGAAGATGTTCATGCAAAATGATGTGGAGGACAAACAACTTCTTACAGTGATATACAGTTTAAAGTCACATCCATATCACTTAGTGATGGGATAAGACACAGCCATGGAGGGTAGGAAGGAGAGGTTTGAAGAAAGCACTTCACTGTCATATTTTATACTACGCAAAAAGGGATATATTTTATAAGGGCAAACTTTCAGCTTATCCTGAGAACTAATGCCAATAGACAGTGAGTGAAGTACTCAATATACACTGAGTGGCCAGATTATTATGACCACCCCATCAGTACTTCGTTGGGCCACCTTTTGCCTTCAATTCTGCAGCGATTCTTCTTGGGATTGACTCCATGAGATGTTGAAAGGTGATGCAAGGAATCTGACACCATGCCTGATGAATAGCACTGTCCACTTCTCTGAGATTTGATGGTTGTGGAACCAGCTGCCTGATGGCTCTTTTAACTTCGTCCCACAAATGCTCAATTGGATTGAGATCTGGTGATTGTGGGGGCCACCTAAGCAAGGTAAAGTCTCCCTCATGTTCTTGAAACCACTCCTGCACAATATGAGCACCGTGGCATGGGGCATGGTCTTGTTGGAAGAAGCCATCTCCATTGGGATACGCCATTAACATGATAGGATGAAGTTGATCAGCAATGATACTTAGGTATGTTGTGCTATTCAGACGTTGTTCCACACGAATTAAAGGGCCCAAATCATGCCAGGAAAACATGCCCCAAACCATAACACTGCCCCACCAGCTTGAAGGGTTGTACTCATGCATGTGGAGTGCATGTTTTCATGATGTTTCCGCCAAATTCTCATTCTGCCATCTGCATGATGCAACTGGAAACGTGATTCATCGAACCACATGACTTTTTTCCAATGCTCGACTGTCCAATCCTTGTGTTCCTGTGCGATTGGAGACATTTTATCTTGGTAACTGCAGACAGCAAAGGTGTTCGAACAGGCCTTCGGCTTCCATATCCCATACGATGCAGTGTACGGCTAATTTGCCTACAAATGTCAGGTGGTTATAATAATCTGGCCACTCAGTGTATATCCCAGTTGTAATATAAATTCAGAAGGTAAGATAGTTTTAATGAGTTAGCAAGATGAGGGAAGCAAAGATATTCATTTGAAATTAATAAAAGGTCTTACCAACATAAAAACAATTACTTACAAAACTAAAGTGTTGACAGACACAATATATTCCAGTTCTTTGGTCCAAGGATTTGTGAAACTAAACCATTGGCTGTTTAAAGTTACAAACGAGCCATCTTTTGCTCTGAATTTGTATGAATCTGTAAATATTTTCTCTTTACTCTGTAGAACTTAACAAGAAAAGATCATAATTAGTATACGGTCTACCACTATATAAATCAAACTTTTGAGGATTAATTCAAGTTTTGGATTTCACAGGAATGAGAAATTAAGAGTTGAAGCTGCAATTAAAAAGTACCCAAACCTTACCCCACTCAATGCATACCTGCTTTGTGCTTGTTAGTCAATTTACTATGGTCATCTTGATGAAAATATTCATAACAAGAAGTTCCCAAAAGTTCCTGAGGCAGATATCCTAAAATTGCTGTTGCCCTGGTTTTAAAATTAAAAAGAAACTTAGAATTGATGAACAAATTCCTTCCAGAATCCTGAAGGTCCATACATGGTCAGGACAGTAGGGAAGTGGACTCGGGGATGAGTAACTCAGGGGCATCACTAACCCAGACCAGAGCTGCAAAACAGAATGGACACCCAGGCATGAGGCTACTCCAGAGGACGCCCACCCAATCCACTGCCAGTGAAACTGTGGCCAGAGACCCATGCCCAGTTTCTGCGCCACTGGCTAAGAAATATTCCAAGTTTACATTTTGGCTTGAACAAATTTACTGGTAATATCCATATTGTTATTTCATTTAAACTTTATTTCCTGTTTTGAAGCCTTAAAAGAAAAAGTCCAACAGTCCTAAGCCACATTTTAATAGCCTTAAATATCCCAGTGAACTCACGTCATTAAGGCATATAAATGTTACCTTTGGTCCACATAGACAAATTTTCCATTCATTGCAAAACGGGTTATAAATTCAGTTGGTTTCACTTTAACCTCTCCACTGTTCTGTGGGACAGTATTTGGATATAATCTCCCAATGGCAACAAGGCAGGTGAAATTGCTGTCTTCCTTACTGTTCCTTTCTTCTTCCATTCCAATAGTATTTGTAGACCAGCTTCTCAAGTAACCAGTGCAGTGGACAGTGCAGAATTTCCTATGATCTAATTCAAAAGTTTTTTTTAAAAGAGCATTTGTCAATTATATCTCAATAAAACTGGGGGGGGGGGGAGATAAAATAGCATTTGAATCATTATGAATTCTCATATTTCTTACATTGACATGAGTTATAATGTACTTTGAAATATTCAAATAATGTATTTCATTGAAATCGATTGTGTTTAACCACTTTATTCTTAATGGGTTATTTTCCCTCAGGAATTAAACTATAAGTACTATATCAAAAAGTAAGAAGACTGCTTTAATTTAGGTTTAAACAGGTCTATATTTATTTATTTCTAAGTCAATTTTTAAAAATACTGTAATTTATATCTGTTAGAAAAAGTTAAACTTCATGCTCTCTTGCCCTTAACCACAAAGATACTGTTTTCAGCTTATTAAAATTTTGATATAATTTATATTCCTAAGTTCAAAGGATAATTATGTATACATTCTTAAATATCTTATGTTAGTACTTATAATGGTTATACTAGATTATAGACAAAATTTGGAGACCACTTAGAGAAATTTATAATAAAATGTATTATAAAAATAAAATTTGACTCAAATTTCACTTTCAGAAAAAAAAAAAATCCCAAGCTTAACTCACAGGAAAAGGTCCAACAAGAAAAATAAAAAACTGAAGATAATCCATATCTTCCTGATATCTCAAATATCAGGAAATGCTTAAGAAAATACTGAAACGCAACACAGGCATAAAAGGCAGGCAGTCTACAGAGTATGGCAATCCACAAAAAAAGTGACTTGAAGATTAAAAAGAAGAAAAAAAGGGCTGGTAAAAATTACTTCAACTGTTTGTGATAACCTTTAGAAAAGACCAGGACAGTCACTGTTTTAAATCGGCACTATTTGATAAGACTGTTACTACAACAATTCTTTTAAAAGCATGTTTTTAAATAGAAAGTGATATGGGCTGTCTTATAAAATAGCAACTAATAGTAACAGCAAAGATTTATAGCACACTTGATGTGCTATGCTCTGTTTTAAGTGCTTTAAATGTATAATTCATACACTAATGTATTAATAGTCCTGTGCGGTGTTCTAACATTGTCCCCACTGTGTTAGGAAACTGAGAGTTAACACCAAGGTCACAGCAGGGAGGGTGGAGCCAAGGTTTACATCCAGACAAGCTGGCTCCAGAGCTCCCTTTCTGAGCCACCAATGCCCTGCTGTTTGATGACAGTGAGTGCTCTGTCACAGGGGTCCAAACAGGACTTGCCTGGATAACGGGGGAGAAAGGGGCTACAAAAAGGTATTCCAGTCAGAGGGAACAGCCACTGCAAACTGAGAGTCAAGAGACAGCGGTCAGATGTGGCTGAAACATGGTTTGCGATGGGGAAATGGCAACATAGCAGGCAACAGTTTGACTTTTGTAAGCCATGCACAGGACCTTGTGTTCAACACCTAACACACATCACTCCCTCCATGGTCCAAAGGTACCTTAAATTACAAGTCATTCTCCCTTCCAACCCTGAACCAAGTTTATCACTTATCCCTTATCCTGTTTAATGTCACCATCATCAATCCAGGGAAGCATGCTGTCTATGAAGACCAGAGAAAGAGGTCAAACAGAATCACAGGGGTGAGACACTGCAAACCAGATGGGGTGCCCTTGAAGGGGTAGGTGCTGAGAGGCTATGTCACGTGGAACTGACAGCATCTGCCACACTTGCGCAAGAAGCCAATGGATTCTGGGTGCATTACTGTATGACTGATTATCTTACTAAGATAAACTTAAGAAATACCTAAGATGTTTGGAAGTGGTCACCCATCCTTCATCAACCTTTGATTTCACAAGTTGAGATACAAGAGAAATTTTATTCTTATCTTAGAATCCTTTTCAAAGTCTAAATCTATGACATTAGAATCAGGGTAGAAATCATGTTTTTAGTGTTACTCTTGCTAATTTTTTCTAAATTCTTACTATGGAAAATCTCAAACACACACAAAATCAGAGAGAATAGTACAGTTGACCCTTGAACAATGTGGTGTGTGTGTGGGTTGACCAGAAGCCTTACCAATAACAAGTCAATGAACACATTTTGCGCATTATATACTACACTCTTGCAATAAAGCAAAAGAAAATAAAATATTAAGAAAATCATGAGAAAATACATTTACGGTGTTTATTAAAAAAAAATCTGCATGTCCACACAGTTCAAACCTATGTTGCTATGAGTGACTGGTGGCTAATTTTGGAAATAGCTGTTCCATAAATCTTAAATTCAGTTTTAATTATCATTAAAAGGGCTGTTTTCTACTCTCTTTTTTAATATTTAAATGTAACTAAGACAAAACTATGGAGTCAAAAGATTAGTGTTTGCCAGGGGTGGTGGTGGTAAGAGATGAATAGGCAGAGCACAGAGAATTTTTATGAAGATAATTTGTATGATATTATAATGATGGAGATATGTCATTATATATTTGTCTAAACCCACAAAATGTACAACAGCAAGAATGAACTCTAAGGTAAATTATGGACTTTGGGTGATTATGATGTGTCAATGTGGGTTTCATCCTTGGTGAAAAAAATATATATACCATTCTGGTAGAAGATGTTGATAATGGGGGAAGCTATGCATGTGTGGGGGCCAAGAATACAAGGAAAATCTCTCTACCTCTCTCAATTTTGTTGCAAACCTAAAACTGCTCTAAAAAAATAGTCTTATCCTAGCTGGTGTGGTTCAGTGGTTGAGCATCGTCCAATGAACCAAGAGGTTGCTGGTTCAATTCCTGGTCAGGGCACATGCCAGGGTTGGGCTCAAAGGGAGTGTGCAGAAGGCAGTCAATCAATGTTTTAAACTCTTTATCCCTCTCCCTTCCTCTCTCTCTAAAAAAAAAATCAATAAAAACATATTTTTAAAACACAGTCTTAAAAATAACGAAAAAAGTTAATGTAACATGTCATGGTAAAAGGGAAGAAAAATACCTTTATTAACTTTCATCATTAATAGGAAGTGATCTTAAAATAGTCGATGACATTGGCAAATGCCGGAAGCCGGTCCATCCTTGCTGCTTGACACAGTCGCTGCAGGGAAGAAACATCTGCACAGCATATGTTTCAAGGGACCTGGTGTATATGGCATACTGTTCTTAATACGTTTGCTCACCTTCTTGGCGCTATGTGTTTTAACCAAGGTCACCTCTCTGAGAAAGGTTGTTTCCCCAGGTAGGGATTTTTCCCTGAAGTTAGGGAGGGAATAAAACCCCTTAACTAAGTGCCAGGCGGGTAGTTAATCACTTTAACTACGAACAATCATGCTTAAGCTACATAATGTTTACTCCCTGGAATGAAGATAAGAAACACCCTAACCTTTGGAATAGAAATTGATAGGATTAAAATCAACTGGTATAAATACAGATATAATAAGACAATAAAACACAGAACCTGGCTGGAGATGCTGGCTAGAACCTGGCTAGGCTGCTGATCAACTGAACGCTGTCTCCGTGTCATTCCTTCTTCGCCGACTCCATCCACACCTTTGGGAACCCCTGGACCTGCTGGGGTTGGACCCCAACAGGCTAATCATTACTGGAAAGAATGATTTAGTAGTAACTATATGCAAAATGTTTATTTCGCTTGACAGACCTTCTCCTTGGTTAAGCACAATCCAAAATGATCACATGTGTGGGAAGTCATCCATGTGGCGCACCAGGGTTCCATTGTGCCGTTAACCTCATCCTGGTCCAGGCTTCTGTCTACATGTCTGTCTGCAGGCAGTTCTCAAACATCAGGCACTGCGAGGAAGGGCCTTACTGATTGTTAACACATGCCCTTACCATTCCTTAGGCCAGACTGGCCTCATGCCTTTGGCCCACAGCGCTGGAGTGTCAAGTGAATATTTGGTTCAAGTGCTTGAGCAGACTAAAAAGTTCTTCTCTGAGAAGCTATGTGACTCCCAGTGCAGGCATCTGTGTGGCCCAGCTTGATGTGGGACTGAACCTCTGTGTGTGGGCAGAAGTGCATTCCTACAAGGGAAGCCAACCCCTAGATGTGTTTCCACTGCAGAAATCGCCGAGGGTGGCTCTCTTTCATTAATAGCCTTTGGCATCTAGGCAGCTCCTCTCATAGGTGGCGCAGCAGAGTGGAAGGCACACAGATGTTAATGCTAGATTTGACTCTGCCACTTTCTCTGTGACTTTAGACAAATTGCGTAACCTTTTAGGGCTTCAGTTTCCTCATCTGCAAAATGGGGGTGATTTGCACAGTACTGTTATGCCGACTGAATCAGGTACTTAAGCAAAATGCTGGGCATATAGATTTTAAATAATTACTAATTTTCTTCTTGCCCTTTTATTTTCCTTCTTTTTTCTCTGAGTCACAAATAATGGCTTTCATTTACTGAGTGCTTACCAGGAGCCAAGCACAGCACTTAGCCACATGCAATCCTAACCCTGCTCCCATGAGCTATAGTATACCTATCTTATCAGTCTGCGAGGACTGCCGTAACAAAATACCACAGACTGGGTGACTTAACCGATAGAAATTTACTTTTCTCACAGTTCTGGTGGCTAGAAGTTCAGGATCAAGGGGTTGGCTGTTTGGTTTCTCCTGGGGCCTCTGCTTCACTTGCAGACAGGAGACGCTCATTGTGTCCTCACGTGGCCTCCTCTCTGTGGGGGTGCATTCCAGGTGTCTCTCCCTCTTCGTGTGAAACACCAGTCCTACTGGATTAGGGCCACACTCTTATGACCTCATTTACCCTTCATTCCTTCTTTAAAGGCCCTATCTCCAAGTCCCCTCACATGGGGAGCTAGGGCTTCCACTTCAACATGTGAGTTATGGGGAAACAGTGCAGCCCATCACCCCATTTTCCACAGATTGAGAGGAGCCTGCCTAAGGCGGCACAGTTGTTAAGCAGCAGACCCGACGTTAAAACCTTAATAAATTCAGAGCCCAGGCCCTTTCCACTCCGTCCTAAAACCCGGCCACCAGCATGGCTGATGTGAGGCAGAGCTTAGATGAGAACCTGGAACATTAGAG